CAATTATTTGTGCTTTTTTTTGCCATTTCCATCACATAAATTCTGAATTATTTGTGCTTTTTCTTCCCAATTATTTGTGCTTTTTTTTGCCATTTCCATCACATAAATACCAAATTATTTTTGCTTTTTTTTTGCCATTTCCACCACATAAATTCTAAATTATTTGTGGGTTTTTTGCCACTTCCTTCATTTAAATTCTAAATTATTTCTGCTTGTTCTTGCCATTTCCACCATATAAATTCTGAATTATTTGTGCTTTTTCTTGCCATTTCCATCATATAAATACCAAATTATTTGTGCTTGTTCTTGCCATTTCCACCATATAAATTCTCAATTATTTCTGCTTTTTCTTCTCATTTCCATCACATAAATTCTGAATTATTTCTGCTTTTTCTTCCCATTTCCTTCATTTAAATTCTGAATTATTTGTGCTTTTTCTTGCCATTTCCATCATATAAATACCAAATTATTTGTGCTTTTTCTTGCCATTTCCATCACATAAATACCAAATTATTTGTGCTTTTTCTTGCATATAAATTCTCAATTATTTCTGCTTTTTTTTGCCATTTCCACCATTTAAATTCTCAATTTTTTGTGCTTGTTCTTGCACCTTGACTTTCCTTTCCCAATCTTTCAGGAATTTATTTCTTTGCTTTCCTCAGCATTTCCTTTCTGAGTTTCAGGGTGTTTGCTCAATTTTAAATATTTGATCTGATTTTGAATTTCTCCTGCCTTTTTCTCTTGTGTGCTAAAATATAAAATAATTTCTGAGCTGCTCATGCCATTTCCACCATATAAATACCAAATTATTTCTGCTTTTTCTTGCCATTTCCGTCATATAAATTCTCAATTATTTGTGCTTTTTCTTGCATATAAATTCTCAATTATTTGTGCTTTTTCTTGCCATTTCCATCATATAAATACCAAATTATTTGTGCTTTTGCCTGTTCTTGCCACTGCCATCATATAAATTCTCAAGTATTTGTGTTTTTTCTTCCCATTTCCATCACATAAATTCTAAATTATTTGTGCTTTTTCTTCCCAATTATTTGTGCTTTTTTTTGCCACTTCCATCACATAAATACCAAATTATTTGTGCTTTTTCTTGCATATAAATTCTCAATTTTTTCTGCTTTTTCTTGCCATTTCCATCACATAAATTCTAAATTATTTGTGCTTTTTCTTCCCAATTATTTGTGCTTTTTTTTCTCATTTCCATCACATAAATTCTCAATTATTTCTTCTTTCACCTTGGCTTTCCTTTCCCAATCTTTCATTAATTTATTTCTTTCCTTTCCCCATCATTTCCTTTCTGACCTCCAGGCCGTTTCCTCAATTTTTAACATTCCCCATTTATTGAATATTCAGAATTTTGTGATTCCTCCATTTTTAACATTCCCCATTTATTGAAAATTCTGAATTTTGTGATTCCTCCATTTTTAACATTCCCCATTTATTGAATATTCAGAATTTTGTGATTCCTCCATTTTTAACATTCCCCATTTATTGAATATTCAGAATTTTGTGATTTCCTCAATTNTTGGAGGAATCTTCACACTCCTCACCTGGGCTGCACAAAAAACATCCCAAATTCTTGGTCCCAAAATCATCCCAAATGCCAGTGGTTCTGAATCCCAAAAACACCCCAAATTCCCAAATCCCAGTGGTTCTCAGCACCAAAAATATCCCAAATTCTCACCCCAAAAAATCCCAAATCTCAGTGGTTCTGGGCCCCAAAACCACCCCAAATTCCCAAATCCCAGTGGTTCTCAGCACCAAAATCATCCCAAATTCTCACCCCAAAAACATCCCAAATTCTTGGTCCCAAAACATCGCAAACCCAGCGGTTCTGGGCCTCAAAATCATCCCAAATCCCAGTGGTTCTGGGCCCCAAAAACATCCCAAATTCTCACCCCAAAAACATCCCAAACCCAGCGGTTCTGAATCCCAAAAACATCCCAAATCCAAGTGGTTCTGGGCCCCAAAATCCTCCCAAATCCCAGTGGTTCTGGGCCCTAAAAACATCCCAAATTCTCATCCCAAAAACATCCCAAACCCAGCAGTTCTGGGCCCTAAAAACACCCCAAATTCTCACCCCAAAAACATCCCAAATCTCAGTGGTTCTCACCACCCAAAACATCCCAAACCCAGTGGTTCTGAACCCCAAAAATATCCCAAATTCTCACCCCAAAAACATCCCAAATCCAAGTGGTTCTCAGCCCCAAAAACATCCCAAATCCCAGTGGTTCTGGGCCCCAAAACATCCCAAACCCAGCAGTTCTGGGCCCTAAAAACACCCCAAATTCTCAGCCCCAAAACATCCTAAACCCTGTGGTTCTCAACCTCAAAACCATCCCAAATGCTCGGCACCCAAAACATCCCAAACCCCAACAGTTCTCTGCCATAAAAACATCCCAAACCCCAGCGGTTCTGAATCCCAAAACATCCCAAACCCCAGCGGTTCTGAATCCCAAAACATCCCAAATCCCAGCGGTTCTCTGCCATAAAAACATCCCAAACCCCAGCAGTTCTGAATCCCAGAANTGGAGATTTTCTTTCTCTGAGCACTTTTTAAGTCCTGGAAATGAACCTGTTCTTGCTGTGTGGTACCTGGAGTTTATTAAAGGTGTCAAAAGGCTGCTGAGGCCATTTTATCAATCATTATAAATCATTCTGGAGGAGGTGGCAGCTCCACGACCTTGATGTGCTCAAATGATTCAGGTCCTGCAGAACTTGAATCCGTCATTCACAAGAATTTCTGGTTCTTGTGGCTGCTTCTGTTTGGGTGGGTTTGCATCAGCCGATGGAAGTTCTGCAAAGAATCTTTGCAAGGAGAATTTCTGCAAGAGTTTTGCAGAAGAGTCTTGCAAGGAGAATCTTTGCAAGGAAAATCTTGCAAGGGGAATCTTTTGTTCAGGAAGGGTCTTGCAAGGGGAATCTCTGCAAGAAGGGTTTTGCAAGGAAAATCTTGCAAGGGGAATCTTTGCAAGGGGAATCTTTCAGGAAGGGTCTTGCAAGGAGAATCTTTGTAAGGAAAATCTTGCAAGGGGAATCTTTGCAAGAATCTCTGCAAAATGGGTCTTGCAAGGGGAACCTTTGCAAGGGGAACCATCTTTGCAAGGAAAACCTTTCAAGAGGAATCTTTGCAAGGAAAATCTTGCAAGACTTGCAAGGGGAACCTTTGCCAGAAGGGTCTTGTAAGGAGAATCTGTGCAAAGAGAATCTTTGCAAGAAGAGTTTTGCAAGGGGAACCTCTGCAAGGAGAACCTTTGCAAGGAAAATTTTGCAAGAAGACTTTCAAGGGAATTCTTTTTAAGGAGAGTCTTGCAAGGAGAATCTGTGCAAAGAGAATCTTTGGCAGAAGGGTCTTGCAAGGAGAATCTTTGCAAGGATGATCCTGCAAGAAAACTTTTGCCACTGGAACCTTTGCAAGGAGAATCTTTGCAAGGAAAATCTTCACAGAAGACTTGTAAGGAGAATCTGTGCAAAGAGAACCTTTGCAAGATGGGTCCTGCAAGGGGAACCTCTGCAAGGAGAATCTTTGCAAGGGGAACCTTTGCCAGGAAAATCTTACAAGACTTGCAAGGGGAATCTTTGCAAGAGTCTTGCAAGGAGAATCTTTCAAGAATTGCCAGGAGAATCTGTTCAGGAAGGGTCTTGCAAGGAGAATCTGTGCAAGGAAAATCTTGCAAGACTTGCAAGGAGAATCTTTGCAAGATGGGTCTTGCAAGGGGAACCTGTGCAAGGAGAATCTTTGCAAAGAAAATTTTGCAAGACTTGCGAGGGGAACCTTTGCAAGGAGAATCTTTGCAAGGAAAATCGTGCAAGAAGACTTTCAAGGGAATTCTTTTCAAGGAGAGTCTTGTGAGGAGAATGTGTGCAAAGAGAATCTTTGCAAGGATGATCCTGCAAGAAAACTTTTGCCACTGGAACCTTTGCAAGGAGAATCTTTGCAAGGAAAATCTTCAAAGAAGACTTGTAAGGAGAATCTGTGCAAAGAGAATCTTTGCAAGAAGAGTCTTGCAGGGAGAACCATCTTTGCAAGGAGAATCTTTGCAAGGAAAACCTTACAAGACTTGCAAGGGGAACCTTTGCAAGTGGAATCTTTTCAGGAAGGGTCTTTGCAAGGAGAATCTCTGCAAGGAGGGTCTTGCCAGGGGAATCTTTGCAAGGATAATCCTGCAAGAAGACTTTTTGCAAGAAGAATCTTTGCAAGGAAAATCTTGCAAGGGGAATCTTTGCCAGAAGGGTCTTGTAAGGAGAATCTGTGCAAAGAGAATCTTTGTAAGAAGGGCCTTGCAAGGGGAATCTCTGCAAAGAGAATCTTGCAAGGAGAATCTTTGCAAGAAGAGTTTTGCAAGGGGAACCTTTGCAAGGAAAATCTTGCAAGACTTGCAAGGGGAATCTTTGCAAAGAGAATCTTTGCAAGATGGGTCTTGCAAGGGGAACCTCTGCAAGGAGAATCATCTTTGCAAGGGGAATCTTTTCAGGAAGAGTCTTGCAAGGAGAATCTTGCAAAGGGAATCTTTGCAGGAATCTCTGCAAGAAGGGTCTTGCAAGGGGGATCTGTGTGAGGAGAATCTCTGCAAGGAAAATCTTGCAACAAGGGGAATCTTTCGAAGGGTCTTGCAAGAGGAATCATCTTTGCAAGGGGAATCTTTGCAAGGAGAACCTTGTCAAGTTTTTTGCAGAATTCCATTTTGTCTTTACTTTCCAACTCGCCCTTTTTGGACACAAAGCAGCCGAGATTTTTAGATTCCATCTCTGCTGGTTTTTCAGAGGAGCAGGACGGGGAGGACGCGGAGAGGAGGAAGAGGAGGAGGAAGGCGAGCAAGAGGAAGAGAGAAGTGAGGAGCCAGGAGGAGGAAGAGGGCTCCTTGTCCTGTGACATCAAACTGGACGAGTCCCTGGACCGCACGCTGGAGGACGGAGCCAAGCAGCACAACCTGACCGTGGTCAACGTCAGGAACATCCTGCACGTGAGTGTGGGGCCTGGGGGCTCTGGGGGCTCTGGGGCTCCTCCTTCCTGCTCAGCACAGTTCCAGGTTGGAGTTCTGGGTGCTGGGAATGTTCAACTGGCTGTGCTGGCAGACCCTGACTGCCAGGAGAGCCGTGCGCTCCTTGTTCTCCTCCTTGTTCCCCTCCTTGTTCTCCTCCTTGTTCCCCTCCTTGTTCTTCTCCTTGTTCTCCTCCTTGTTCCTCTCCTTGTTCCCCTCCTTGTTCCCATCCTTGTTTCCCCTCCTTGTTCCTCCTCCTTGTTCCTCCTCCTTGTTTTCCTCCTTGTTTTTCCTCCTTGTTCTTCCTCCTTGTTCCACTCCATGTCCTCCCTCCGTGTCCTCCCTCCTTGTTCTATTCCTTGTTCGTCTCCCCTCCTTGTTCCCATTGTCTCTCCTCCTTGTCTCTCTTCCTTGTTCCCCTCCTTGGTTCTCCTTCTTGGTTCTCCTTCTTGTTTCTCTCCTCCTTGGTTCCTCTCCTTGGTTCCCCCTCCTTGTTTCTTTCTCCTTTTTTCTCCTCCTGGTTTCCCCTCCTTGTTTCCATTCCTTGTTTCCCCTCCTTGTTCTTCCTCCTTGTTCTTCCTCCTTGTTCTTCCTCCTTGTTTTTCCTCCTTGTCTCTCCTCCTTGTTCCCCTCCTTGTTTCCTCTCCCTGTTTCCCCTCCCTGTTTCTTCTCCTGGTTTCCCCTCCTTGTTCCCCTCCTTGTTCTTCTTGGTTCCCTTCCTTGTTCCCATTGTTTCCCCTCCTTGTTTCCCTTCCTTGATTCCCCTCCTTGTCTCTCCTCCTTGTTTCCTCTCCTGGTTCTTCCTCCTGGTTCCCCCTCCTTGTTTCTTCTCCTTTTTTCTCCTCCTTTTTTCTCTCCTTGTTTCTCCCTCTTTGTTTCTCCTCCTCGTTCTCCCTCCTTGTTCCCTTTTTTGTTTCCCTTCCTCGTTTCCCTTCCTCGTTTCTCCTCCTTGTTCTATTCCTTGTTCTCCTCCTTGTTTCCCTTCCTTGTTTCCCTCCTTGTTTGTTCTCCTTTTTTCTCCCTCCTTTTTTCCCTTCCTTGTTCTATTCCTTGTTCTATTCCTTGTTTCCCCTCCTCATTTCCCCTCCTTGTTCCCCTCCTTGTTCCTCTCCTGCCTTCCCCCATTTCTCCCAGATTTTCTGCAGTACTACTGAACTATTTTAAACACTGAATATCATTCCACCCTTTCTCCAGACATTTACATATTCCACATTTCCTCCAGAGATTTGGGAGCCTGGGAGTGCTTCAAAATTGAAAATTAATCCAGATTTAGGTGTGGCACTCCTGCTGTGATATCACACAAACTGCTGTGGGCTTTGGTTTCAATTATTTTATTCCTCTCTGCTGGGAATTTATTTTGGGGAGAATTCACAGAGAATGTAGTGCAAATATTTTAATCTCTGCTGTGATTGAAATTTTAAAATTCATTCATTTATTTAATTTTAAAAAATTTAAATAAATTAATTTATTTTAAATGGATCCATTTAAATTTAAATAAATTCATTTATTTTGAATTGATCCATTTAAATTTAAATAAATTCATTTATTTTAAATTGATTCATTTAAATTTAAATAAATTCATTTATTTTGAATTGATTCATTTAAATTTTGCTGTCTGATCTCCGATCAATCATTTTTTGCTACTGTGTGATTACAAATTGATTTAATTTTTAAAAATTTAAATAAATTCATTTACTTTAAATGGATTCATTTAAATTTAAATAAATTCATTTATTTTAAATTGATTCATTTAAATGATCTCTGACCAATCATTTTTTGCTACTGTGTGATTACAAATTGATTTAATTTATAAAAATTTAAATAAATTATTTTAAATGGATTCATTTAAATTTAAATAAATTCATTTATTTTAAATGGATTCATTTAAATTTAAATAAACAATTTATTTTAAATGGATTCATTTAATTTTAAATAAATTCATTTTTTTAAAATTGATTCATTTAAATTTAAATAAATTAATTTATTTTAAATAAATTCATTTATTTTAAATTGATTCATTTCAATTTTTTGCTGCTGTGTTTTTACAAATTCCACACTGATTATTTCCCCATTGCATTTCCACCCATCTCTTGTTGGATAAACAACTAAATTAAATTAAAATTTTGTTTTTTTGTGATAAAAATCCTGATTTTTTGTGTTTTTTAGGAGGTGATCACCAACGAGCACTGATTACTGATATCACACAAACTGCTGTGGGCTTTGGTTTCAATTATTTTATTAATTTTTAAATTTAAATAAATCAATTTGTTTTAAATGGATTCATTTAAATTTCAATAAATTCATTTATTTTAAATGGATTCATTTAAATTTAAATAAATTCATTTATTTTAAATTGATTCATTTAAATTTTCCTGTCTGATCTCCAATCATTTTTTGCTACTGTGTGATTACAAATTGATTTAATTTTTAAAAATTTAAATAAATTCATTTATTTTAAATGGATTCATTCAAATTTAAATAAATTCATTTATTTTGAATTGATTCATTTAAATTTAAATAAGTTAATTTATTTTAAATTGATTCATTTCAATTTAAATAAATTCATTGATTTTAAATTGATTCCTGTCTGATCTCCCACCAATCATTTTTTGCTACTGTGTGATTACAAATTGATTTAATTTTTAAAAATTGAAATAAATTCATTTATTTTAAATGGATTCATTTAAGTTTAAAAAATTCATTTATTTTAAATTGATTCATTTAAATTTCAATAAATTCATTTATTTTAAAT